TCTCCTCTGGATCTTCCTGACAGAGTAGAGACCTTCCTTTTTGCTGCTGCATCTCCTCAGAAACCCGTGAGCACAGCTGTCTCCCTCTGGCCACAGGAGGCATGTGTGGGCCTCTTCATCTGCTCATTCACCCAAATACTGCCCTAGGAAAATATAGACACTGAGTCCTGAGATCTTGGACTCTGAGGATCCAAACACTAGACAGAGAAGTCACAATTGTACCCATCCAGCTCAACTAGAGAAGAGAAAAGAATAGTTGTAGATGTTGAGCAGAGAAGAAATGCGTGGGTGAGAGCTGAGGTCCTCTGGTCCGGGCTGATGCCCGCTGGCCAGCGCCCGCACAGTTCCAGCAGCTGCCAACAGAATGACAGGCTCCTAAGCCAGCTAACACATGCCCATGTTCTGGAGCCTGCAGCCACCATTCAGTGCAAGCTTCCCAGACACTGCAGGTTGGTGATTGTCTCAGACCTGGTGAGGACAATTTCAAAGTTGTTATGATGCTCAGATTCTGTCAAAAAGAACATTCCTCAAATATGGAAAAACATATTGGAACTTGCACCTTGCCTGGAGTTAATGGAAAGCTGTCACTTCCTCCCACCCTGCCCTGAGAGTGGTGGGAGGAGGTTGGAGCTGGTCAATCTTTGCACCCACAGACACTGGGAGCAGGTCACCCAGCTCTGCTCAAGGCAAACTTACCCATCCTGATAACAGGTGGACTTTAATGTACCATTCAAACTGCAGTATTAAAATCACCAATTATTAAGGATATATTCTTTAATACAGGTAGGAATTATCTGCTGAGAGAAAAACAGTAAAAAGAGAAAGGAAGGGGACAAAAGAGGGAAGGATAGCTGTGGGCATGTTAGTTAAAATACATCAGTTTAAAAGATCTCTCCTATATACAGTTTACTATGCATACAACATTTTATAAGGATTAAATTTAACAATGAATATTTACCTTACTCTATGACAAACTTTACAAGATCTATTTGTCTTTAAACCAATATGTTTGACCATGTTAATTTATGTTTTAAATGTATTTTAACTTTACTAGGCTTTCGCTTCTCACTTTTCTGAGATATTATATACAGATATTTTATACTCGGAAACTGTTTATGACTCAATGTGTCTCTGTTATGGCTTTAGTCATGAACTTACCAAGAGATTATCCAAAATTCAAAATCCAAATTAATAATCTAGGCTTGACGTAGGGCACCAGCCACATACACCGGGGCTGGTGGGTTCGAACCTGGCCCAGGCCTGCCACACAAGAATGACAACTGCAACAAAAAAAGAAGCCAGGAGTTGTGGTGGGTGCCTGTAGTCCCAGCTACTTGCGAGGATGAGACAAGAGAATCTCTTAAGCCCAAGAGTCTAAGGTTGCTATGAGCTGTGACGTCACAGCATTCTACCCAGGGTGACATAGTGAGACTCTTTCTCAAAAAATAAAAAAATTAATAACCTAACTTCTTTTCACACATGATTAGGACAACTACTTTTAAGAGCACAGGTTTTTCAAAGACAGATTCCAATGGATTAATGATATATGTCCACATGTTTGCAAGTCTAACCATGTTATCTATATAGCTTCATCTTCCAAGACTCAGAGTAAAATGTCTGGAAATCTTGCTACATAGACTGGGAATGTCAGGTATATAACAACTGCAACTTCATAGTTTCTTTCTTTCTTTTTTTACCAGCCCCAATATGATACACAGGAAACATTTTAGAGAAGCTACAATGTTACTTTTCGCCAGAATGGTCATCCCATTAAAACTCTGATGCAATTTTTAGACTTTTTTTAGAACTAAATTAACATATCAATAGAGATCCATTTCCAGATTGAGGGTCTCAGTTTTAGATTCAGAAAATGCCAGGCGGTAATTGAGAGTGGCACTTTGAACGCAACCTTGTGTGTGGAAACCGTGCTGAGAAGTGATGCCTCCTCTGCTTCTGTCCCCCCAGCTGAAGGGGCCTGTGGAGGAACCTTGCGGGGAACCAGCAGCTCCATCTCCAGCCCCCACTTCCCCTCTGAGTATGAAAACAATGCTGACTGTACCTGGACCATCCTCGCGGAGCCAGGGGACACCATCGCGCTGGTCTTCACTGACTTCCAGCTGGAAGAAGGGTACGACTTCTTAGAGATCAGCGGGACAGAAGCCCCGTCTATATGGTGAGTGCTGGGGGCTGGGAAGGCGCCGAGGGTGGGGTGGGGGGGTGGAGGTGCACCCGTGCTGACCGGGCTGGCCCAATGGGCTCGCTAAGCTTCTCTCATCCGATGCCCACTGGCAGCAGGAGTGTTCCTTTTGTTGCCCTGCTATTTCGGCTACTAAAAAGTTATGTTTACCATGTGACTAGTTATGGAGTTTCCAGGGGGTTTGTGCTGGTGTTTAGGGATGGAGGGTGTTTGTGCACTTTGAACTTGCCGCGTCCTTACTTTGCAGTTTTCTAAGGCAGCACAGGTGATGGCAACTAAGTGAGGCAAGTGAGTTTGGCGTTGTGGTTGTTTTTAGCTTACTGTGAACAGGTGCGTTTAGGCTGAATTTCCTTTAATTCCATTACTGAGCATCAACAAACTGCTGCATGTATATCACTATGCATTGCTTCTCCTCTGTGAAGATTGTTCACCAAATCATGGAACCACCTCTGGAGACATGGCTACAGAGCATCAAAGCCAGAGCAAGTCAGTGTCAACCCTAATCTAATATATGTGCAAAATCAATGGAGGGATTGTTGGTCCTCCTATGTGTGCCCGGGAAGAGACAGGAGAGATCGGGGTGTAGCCAGGGACAGGTTGGGTGAGGAACAGTCAGTCCTCTGCTGTGTACCCTGGGAGAGAACAGGGTCTAGTCCGGCAGTTCTTAACCTGTGGGGTGTGGCCCATAGGAACCGTATGAAAGGGGTGCTGCATTAGGAAGGTTGAGAACCACTGGTCTAGTCCGGGACAGGTTTTCTGAGGAACAGTTGGTTCTTTGCTGGGTGCCCTGGAAGAGCCAGGGGAGATCAGGGTCTAGCCAGGGACAGGTTTGGTGAGGAACAGTTGGTCCTCTGCCATGGGCCCTGGAAGAGCCAGGAGAAAACAGCGTCTAGTCCGGGACAGGTTTGGTGGTGTTGCTTGCAAGAACAGCTTTGGCTGCATCTGTGAGTGTGGTTTAAAAGAGGAATTAAAAGTGTAGAGGTTTAAAGGCTTAAATTCTATCTCTAATTAAGTAATTTTTTGTGTGATAAAGTGTTTTTTGTCTCTTTCTTACCTCTTTAAAATGGTTTACGTATTTCGGATCTTGACCTATAAGTGAATTTGAGAATTTATGTATTAAACTAAGGTAGACCTTTATTGTTTTAAAATTATATTATCACGGTTTTCAAAAAATCTTTGAGGTACAGGATGTATGATGACCGAGTTTCAGAAATCATATGGTTAATGTTAAAGGCTTTCCACATGAGAGTGTGGAGATGCTGAATGCTGACACCTTCTCGGTGAGACTGCAGGTCAGTGAGATGTAGAATCAGGGAGGCATGTTTACCAGGGATTTGGGGTCTGCGAATAGTGACAGGTATTGCCAGGCAAGCTTAGTCTGTGTGAGGAAGGAACTTCAGGCTGCAGACGACTGAAATGAAAACAGGAGCTACTAGACAGAGATGCCCCCCCAATGCAGCGAGACCCTCCACTGGACCAGAAGGGCTGGGGTGCACAGTGAGACTGACCGCCCAGCAGCCTCCAGCCCACTCATTCCGTTTGTTTCCATTGAAGACGGAATTGGGGCTTGGAGGATGTTTGACGTAGTTTTGTCCGTTTCTTCTTGTCTCATCCCTGCTGAGTTACCGTATCCTCTTCTCTTCTTAGCTTAATCTCTGTTTCTACCTTCCTCTGACTGATAAATATTCCCCAACTGCTTGAACTGTAGCACAAAAAAAAACACATGTGAAGATGATATCAAGAGTGTGCTAAAAAGTGTGTTCTCTCTGAAACGCTGAGTAGGGCGGAGCAGGGCTTCCCAGTGACAGTGGAGTGGGTTGTCAGTTGTCACCGATGGCATGGCCAGCCCGAGACTGCCCCTATTTTCTTGGCAACTGAGTTCAGGCACGAAGACTCTCTGCAATCTCTGTCTAGGCATTTTCAAAGGAAGCTGCTAGGAAAGTTCTCAGTGGGGCCTTTGGTCTCTGATCCTTCTTGTCTAATAAACTGTTGTCAGTTGGCTTAACCTGTTCTCTTTAAATAGCCATCAGACGGGTGTGGAGTTGGATCCGTACTTGTAACCTCAGGATGATTCACAGTGACCTGTCTGCTGGGTGCAGAAGCCCTGAGGGGCCATCATTGGTACTGTCCACTATTACTCCATCTGTTACTGCAGATGAAGAAACAGAGCCCCACACTGGACAGGAAATGCAGACCTGACGGGGCCCTTGGCAGAAACCTGGGGCACGAGGCCACAGCCATTGCTCCACCCTATGCGCTTCCTCCCGTTCCCCGGCAGCCCAGTCCAGGCCGAGTGTTAACGCCCTGTCAGGAAAGTGCCTTCTGTTTCTGGACTGTGGTTTGATAATAACCCTGTGAACGGGTGACTTCCACAGGGGACATGTGGAATTGAAAAGCCACTTAGCCTGCATGCTGGGTCAACCGTGTTGGAGGAGACGGCACTTTTGTGTGTGCGACACTTAGTGTTTATCGTAATAGCCGAAAGAAATATCTCATCAGAGCCAGACTAGGACTTCTAAAAGGATCTCTCAGCTTTCACATATTCTGCAGTGACGGCTGGAAAGGAAAAGGGGGCTCTCCTAAATAACCACGCAAATCGACATGAGCACATTTCAGTACAAATCGGAATCCTATGAAGCTCCCTTTAAGACTTACACAGTGCGTGATATGGCTTAACTCAAAAATAGAATTATTTTACCATATGTGAGAGTGGCATTCTCTGACATGGTGAAAGGTCCACATCAGTATTTAAAAGATTTATTCATTTTTTAATTGCACAGAACATGCTAAGAAGCACAGTGGGTAGATGTAACCTCTTCTCAAGCACAAAGTCACACTGCAGAGATGGGGACAGTGTCAGTAGCTGTGACTGGACGGTACAGCACACACATATAATTTTCTAATAATCTATTTTTAAGAACAGAACATATGAGCAAGGGCACTCTAAGAAGCAGCTACTTGGAAAATTGTTAAAAGCAATAATAGGATTAGCCTTATTTTCATTTAATTTGGAGTGAAATTACCTCTTGGCTATGTTTTATGTCAGCGTTGCCATGGCTACGATTGAGGCAGTCTAAATGCAGCCAGTGATGTCATGTGCCAGAATTATCTGTACATTAAGCCCAGAGTGATGCAAACCTCACCAACTCTGCGGCCGTCAGCGCATGCTGATTTTTTTTTTTTTTTTTTGTTACTAATCAGATTCTGATTAAGTACAGGTTGGTTTCCTAACCATGTGCATTATCAGAGTCACCGTTTACAGTTTTCAATGCAGAATGAGCAATTATGAATTTTCTTGCAATTAAAAAGAAAGTGTATAGCAGTAAAGCCAGCGGATTGTCTCATTTTTCCTGAAGTGATTTGATGGTGTCGCTTATAACTAATAACTCTAAAAATATCAAGAAGAGAGAAAATCGATTTGATTTCAGCATTAACCTAGTATGGTTTCTAAATTAAGATGTGATGGTTAAAGGGATCACGGTTATATGGTCTTGGCAGGAAAAAAAAAATGGAGGGAGCATTTCTTGTCTTTAACATATGCCCTCATATGACCAGGATCGTTTGCCCATCTCCCTCTGAGACATGGACAGAGTGAAGCGTAGGGTAAGAAAGGAAACAAAGACAACAAGTGCATTTAGAGCAGGTCCTGGAGCCCACTTCCATGTGTGGGTGTCCTTACAGGCATGCCTTGGTCTGTGGGGACGGACCCCAGAGCCTCAGCCTGCCTGAACACTTTCACGGCCTGGCCCAGCTGTCTCTCACTCCCGGTTCCCCTCAGCTTGGGCCCTGCCACTGTCTTTCAGGATTATTCCCATGAAACCTTCCCTGTCCTCATGTTAGCACGTGTCTGCACCCCTCGTGCAGCTTCATGCCTCCACGTGGAAATTCCCCACTGCCCAATTAATGCTGGTTAAGTTAACATCATGCTTAGAGGGAAGCACACCATCGGTGCAGGGCGCAGCAGGACTGAACCAGGGGAGCCAACTGGTGGTGTGATGTCCTCCTCGGAAGACTCCAGTGGTGATGGATGCAGGGAGGCTTCGTGGTTGATTTGGCTTCCACCTGCCTTTTCTTTTCAAGGGGGAAGTCTGTGACTTTATGATTTTTATGAGGCCTACATTCTGTTTTTCACAAACCGGCGTAACTCTGCCCCTTTGCCTTCCTGGATTCCAGTCAAGGAGACGAATAAGGTTCTGTGACCGTACTTAATTTGTTTCCCATTAATCTGGCAGAATTTCACTATTAAATCAATCCAGTCAGTGATTTGCTGAAACCAAAACAAAAACTTCAGAGAAAATGATGAAGCTGAGTGAGCTTCAAAGAACCTGGAAGGGTCGAGATGCCTCCAGTGTTTACCCAACGTGTCGCTTAATTGGTAATTGACTTGCTGTGCAGTTAATTTCTAATGAGGAAGGATTACAGAGGCCTCCAATGAGTAAGTGACTCCTGGAAATCAATGCTTCTCTCACCTGCTTAAAAATTTAAAAAATGGGCATCATCCTTATTATTATTTTTAATTGTTTACTTTGAATTTATTTTGCATAAAATTTGCAAAACTAAAATAGCCTTTCTCTAATGTTCTTACATATCCTGGTATAATTACTGAGACCAAGAAATTAAGACAGGCAGTTCTCCTCGCCCATGTGAGGCCTGAGTTGTGCCTCTGGGTCCCCACTGCTGTCCTCCTATCCGGTGGCTCCACCTGGGACCCACTGCATTTGGTTCCCTCCTTCAACCCATGACTGTTTCCATCTGCTTTTGTGTCTATGACCTTGATCTGGCTCATGCCAACAGTTCAATATTTTGGGAAAAAATGATATTATTTGAGAATATTGTGGAGAATATGGAACAATGACCCGATACCACCAACTAAACTGGTTGTTTTTATCTCTTTCATATTTTCCATTTTAATTTTGAATTCAGTAACCATATTCCACAAACCTATTTAACGTATGTACCTCAACATTTTATAGATA